GAAGTATCAAATAGGTTATTTCCTGAGTTCTGCTACTCACACTACCGCTCTGTATCATGGAGAGTTTGTCTCCTTCATGCTCAATCCCGTGCAGGTTGCATACCGTGCAACATTTGTCTGCCAATAGACAATCTGAAAAATTAATCACTATGAGGATGTTTCCTAGCAACAGGCCTTAAAAAAGCTTTCGCCGCACTGCACAAAATCACATATAGCATGTTTGAAATAAACCATATAATAATAATAATAATAATAATAATAATAATAATAATAATAATAATAATAATAATATAATATTTTATTTACAAGAAGGTACAAAGAGTTGGTGAGATTACATTCGATCGATATTTTTACGTTCTTGTAAAGCCACCAACACGGATAGTGTTTCGGGCAGGTCCTTAATCTAACATATCAGGTAAGGTGAAAAAGTACATTATAGCAAGGTTTTATATCAACAATATAAATTGACAGGTGATTACACTGGTAAAGATGAAGTACTTAGTCTTAAGTACTAATATTAGGGGAAGTGGGTTAGTACAAGAACAGTGTGAGTTTGAAGTACAAGGTAGGAGACTATGAGGATGAAATTAGGTACTTTTTGGTTTTAAAAGGTAACAATGTACTTTTTTTCGTCTTACCAGATATATGTTGGATTAAGGACCTGGCCGACACGCTATGCGTGTTAGCGGCTTTGCAAGAATGTAAAAATACCACTCTTATGTGACGACTTATACTGAATTTTGTAACTAGCTCATCAAGATTGTAACTTGCTTAGCTAAATGAATTGTGGGGTTCAGTTCCTGAGCCCATTATGTGCCTCTGTAACCCTTTCCACTACCGCCCACAAGATGGGTATGGGGTGCATAATAAATGAACTAAACTAACTTATGTAACCTCACATACCTATTGTACCTTCTTGTGAATAAATATTATTACTATTGTGAACAAGCTTGAATAGTCCCCAAACGTATTTGCAACTGAAATTATAATTATTATTATTTAATTTACCTGAGGGCCACCATTTTCTATTGGCTTCGACAGGGACAGGAAGCCAGCGGCCTGACAAAGGCGCCGCATCCCCACCCCCAACTATGTTTCCTGATATTTTCTCTAGCTTGAGTTTGAACTGCTGTAGTATCTTTTCATTGACAGCTCATTGACACTGACCGCCAAAGCTCCATGAGTTTTATCGGTTCCATGAGTTTTAATCCTATGGGTGAAAACCCATGTCCTGTTTTCTGTCCTGCATTATGGCTTGTTGTGCTTTTAGTTGTTGCTCCTTGTTTGTGTTACATTTGACATATTAAAGTAGTAGTCTGGATTAATATCCACCAACTTGTTCGGTATTTTAAAAGTTTCGAAGAGATTAGCCCTGTCATGTCTGGTTTGCAGAGTTTAAGGGGGGATAGAAATAACCTAAGCTACTCTATCCCTTTGAGATGTATTTCTTTCTTGTCTCAATAAACATACTTGAACTTAAACTGGTTTGCAGAGTTGTTAGCCTTTTGTGGTCCTCAACCGTTCCTGGTATGAGTCAACTTAGTTCTGGACGAGTTTTGTCGCCGTGTTAAAACTCAAATCAGATGTCCTATTGAAGATGAGGTCTCCATGCTTGGATACAGTAGTCTAATTGGGGACGCACCAGAGACTCATTCAATAACCACTTTCTTTCGTTTAAGTCAAAGGTTCGTTTGACTATTTACTGCAGCTCTCGCTTGTGCAACTTTCGATGACTGGTGGATTCTGACTGTTAGCCTAGCTCCTAGGTCCTTTTCTTTATCAATCTGCTGAATGGTAGAATTTTTTATTTGACAACTGTGATGTGCATTGTTACTCTCAACATGCAAGGTCTAATATTTTTCCACATTAAAAAGCATTTGCTTATTCCGACCATTTATTGAGTTTATGTAAATCTCTTTGTAAGGCCTCAATATCACTGATACATATGACAAAAAGGATTGTCCCCAAGATGGAACCTTGCGGCACGCCACTCTTTCAAGTCAAGTTCATTTCCATTTATGACGACCCCTTTTCTTTCTTTGTTTTAATCATTGTTGTATCCATTCTAATACTAAAATTTATTCCACGTGCTTTGTAATTACCTTTGCCAGTCTTTCATGTTGTTCCTTATCAAAAACGTTAGAAAAGTCCATGTATACTACGTCTTCTGCAAGTCCTTTGAATAGTTACCGTATCTAAAAGTGTGAGCAAGTTTATAAGGCCAAGATTTATTTCTAACAAAACTAGAGTTGATTTTACTATAGATTGTGTACTGTGAGAGAGTGTATGATTCCCTTGCTTAGGATTCTCTGCATGAGCTTGCAGGTATGTGAATGTTCAAGCGAATCTCTCCACTTCTCCCTCACTTGTGGATGTTGCAGCATCACAGGACGGTGAGGGGGTTAATGTGCTCAGTAAAGGTGATAAAGTCTTGTCATTATTTCGTGTTTTATTGACAAAAGCATCAAAGTATATGTAGTGGCGTTACCCTCAAGCTTTTGTAACTGTTGTTTAAACTTAAACATATTGGCACTCAGCAGTGCGATGTTCGATACAATGCCAATAAGAATTCTGAGACGAACATCACCAGTATTATATATAGTCTCTGGGCTATTTGGAATAGTATTTCATTCTGGGATTTCTCTTACTCTATTCACATAAACACATTCACCGTCATCTGAGACTGGTTGTAATGACATGTAGTCTTGTACAATAATATTCTGAGCCGAGGGAGGAACGCAGACCGTCACCAATATTGTAACGAAGTGCAATATTTTGTTTGCCACAAGTTGTTGTAGGGTTGTTCAAAAGTAAAACCAAAAAGTACCTAATTACATCCTCATAGTTTCCTACCTTGTGGTTCAAACTCTCACTTCTTGTACTACCCACTTTCCCCAATATTAGTACTTAAGACTAAGTACTTCAGCTTTACCAGTGTAAATTGCTGAAGATTAAGCCACCCAAAAGTTGGCACGGGCATGAATAGCCCATAATTTACCAGTGTAATTACCTCTGTCAATTTATATTATTGATATAAAACCTTGCTACAATGTCTTTTTTCACCTTACCTGATATGTTAGATTAAGGACTTGCCCGAAACGCTATGCATGTTAGTGGCTTTGCAAGAAGGTAAAATTATCAATCTTATGTAATCTCACCAACCCATTGTACCTTCTTGTAAATAAAATATTTTAAATTATGATGGTTAGGGGTTGCTGGAGGGACCCGGCGAGCCAGCAGGGAGGCCTACAGGCGTCGGCTTTACAGGTTACAGCTAGATGTCTATGAGACTATGAGTGGCCTGTAGGTAGCGAAACGTGAGGCGCAGGACGTCGTGACGCAAGTCTCTCTCAACGCCATGGCCGTCGAGGAGGGCGGGAAGCACAAGGCACGAATTTTGAATGTGGTACAAGTCGCAGCAGGACATTGCCCAGGCGGTGTGGAGTCGCTGACGGTATAGCGGGAAATATTCAACTACCTCCTCCGTAACCGGGCACCATTGACAGTCCGGCGAGTCTAGAAAGTCCAGACGATGGATATGAGCCACAATAATTCATATTAATTAAGTCCCGTAAACCCAGTCCGCAGCCGAGTGATCCCAGGTAAGGAGACAGGGGTCCCGATGCCCGGCTATAGGCTAGGGAATGCAGAAGCACCAATATGTCCAAGATGAATCTGGTGCAGGAGCTGTGTACGCAGCAAGGCGACACAAGCCTGATGGGGCGTCAGGAAAGTTTCCTGAGGTACCACAGGAAGTTCCTCCAGCCGGCCCGAAGTATGGGCCAGCGTCGCCGCCGCATCCACGAGGACATTCCCAGGGATCACAATGGGAGGTAATCCATCTGAAGGCAAGATGGCAGCCAGGAACCCAAAGATACCGTAATATCTCAGTCCGGATCTTGTCCACCAGTTGACGAAAGGTCGAGGGACAGTGGGAGATCGAGCGCAGACTTGCATGCAATCCACGTAGAGCACAGAGGCCTGAGGGAGAGTGACCAGCCAGAGGAACCACAAGGCCATGAAAAGTAAGAAGAGCTCACTTGCCAGGTGACCTCTTCTTACTGAAAATATTATTAACAACACTATACCACTTCTGTACTGTTGCTAGTATTACAGATTCCATACTGTATTAGTCTGTACCTGTCATAATTTCTTATTGTATTTGGATTTGGTATATTTCATGAACATTCTCCCATCTGTTAGCATACTTCTCTTTTTACTAGTATTATTAAGTAGTAGTATTATGTAATATTAAGTGTTTACCCCCTTATACCTGTAAATTATTTTATCTAAATTATTCTAAATTTTGCCCAAAATGCTTTGCATTAAAATGGGTTCATTTTTAGTGTACCTCTTGTACTTATAATTGTCCCGTCATCTCATGTTCTTTGTACTGTATGTACAGTCTTATAAATAATATTATTAGAGTTTATTAGTAGTAGTGGTAAATACAAGTACAGTACAGTACTGTACTGTTTATATACAGTACTTCGTATATAATCTCCCTAATAATTGCTGACTCTAGGACTGTTTTTTTTTTATTTATTTATACAAGAGTTCTTACATTCTTGTAAAGTCAGTAGCACACATAGCATTTCAGGCAGGTCCTTAATCTGAATTTTTCCTGGAATACAACCCTTCAAATCGTATAATGACCAGGTACCCATTTGCTGCTGGGTGAACAGAGGCATACAGTTAAGGATTGGCACCCAGTCAATCCTCCTTGGCCAGGATACAAACAGAGCCAAATCGCTCGCAAAGTGTGGACCAAGTGGCTCAACCACTGCACCACAGGGACTGCTAAACTATGTTACTTAGGTTAGATTACATTCAATCTAAGTTTTTTTTTTTTTTTTGAGATATATACAAGAGTTGTTACATTCTTGTAAGTGTAATTATGTTCCTTAATCCTAATCACTCGATACAAGGTTGCTCACACCTTGTTGACACAATACATGTACATCCTTGTGTACTAAATATTTATGTACATTTTCTATCAGTACACCACAGATGAGGTCCACCGCTACATGGTTGACTGTATGTTAGCAGTAGGCACACCAAGGCAACACGCTGCTGCACTGGCTGATGTCTTGGTCGCTGCTGACACGCGAGGCCACTACAGTCATGGACTCAATAGACTAGGTAAGTTATTTGTGGGATTTCATGTAGAGTACTTATTAACGACAGATCCACTGTACTGTATTAGTCAATGTTAATTGAATCTATATATTGTAAAAAACGAAGTTTTTTATGTCATCAGAAAGACATATAAGCTGCATGTTAATACTTTGGTATAAATATAACTGAAGTGAAAGTGAAGATATATGCCTTTTTATAGTTACTTGATGGCTCGCTCAGGGAGTGTGAAGGCCTGCACACAAGCCAATCAATTTTATAATTAATGTACATATATGCAAAGTAACGTCAAAGGTTTTTATTTCAGAATAAAGACAGATGTAGACGATAATGTAAATACATTTCAAGGAAAACATATCTTAAATGAAAGCAAAGACATGGTCAAATAAATAGGCAATACCACACCATCGCCAGTGTCCGAACACATGAATATTCGCATTAGGTAGGTGAAAGGAAATGTACCCAACCATTTCCATTTACGCGACCAGTTTCCGTTCTTATGTTCTTACTTACATTTATTGAAATTTATCATCATCATCATTTACAGAAATAAATTAACATAAAAATGTAGTAATTTTAATACACAAAACAGAAGTAGATATGTATGTAAATTATGACGCAGGATAGGATCACTATTGCAGAACTATTCGCATACTTTGCGTCATTATATACAGTACTGGAATTTAAAAAAAATCGCGGAATTCAGAGATAACACCATCATTGGTGTCCAAGAAAAGTGTAAGTACTTCATTTATAATGATGTGCTGCCCGAAATCTTAGCGAAGTATCTAAAATTTGCTTACTGTAAGTAATTCATGCAAATGATTGTAAAGCCGTCGCCCAGTTGGGTGGGTGTGGAGCACATGACTGTTAAGCTGCCGCCCAGTTGGTTGGGTGTGGAGCACATGACTGTAAAGCTGCCGCCCATTTGGGTGGGTGTGGAGCACATGACTGTAAAGCTGCCGCCCAGTTGGGTGGGTGTGGAGCACATGACTGTTAAGCTGCCGCCCAGTTGGGTGGGTGTGGAGCACATGACTATAAAGCTGCCGCCCAGTTGGGTGGGTGTGGAGCACATGACTGTTAAGCTGCCGCCCAGTTGGGTGGGTGTGGAGCACATGACTGTTAAGCTACCGCCCAGTTGGGTGGGTGTGGAGCACATGACTGTTAAGCTGCCGCCCAGTTGGGTGGGTGTGGAGCACATGACTGTAAAGCTGCCGCCCAGTTGGGTGGGTGTGGAGCACATGACTGTTAAGCTGCCGCCCAGTTGGGTGGGTGTGGAGCACATGACTATAAAGCTGCCGCCCAGTTGGGTGGGTGTGGAGCACATGACTGTTAAGCTGCCGCCCAGTTGGGTGGGTGTGGAGCACATGACTGTTAAGCTACCGCCCAGTTGGGTGGGTGTGGAGCACATGATTGTTAAGCTGCCGCCCAGTTGGGTGGGTGTGGAGCACATGACTGTTAAGCTACCGCCCAGTTGGGTGGGTGTGGAGCACATGACTGTTAAGCTGCCGCCCAGTTGGGTGGGTGTGGAGCACATGACTGTTAAGCTGCCGCCCAGTTGGGTGGGTGTGGAGCACATGACTGTTAAGCTGCCGCCCAGTTGGGTGGGTGTGGAGCACATGACTGTTAAGCTGCCGCCCAGTTGGGTGGGTGTGGAGCACATGACTGTTAAGCTGCCGCCCCCAGTTGGGTGGGTGTGGAGCACATGACTGTAAAGCTGCCGCCCAGTTGGGTGGGTGTGGAGCACATGACTGTAAAGCTGCCGCCCAGTTGGGTGGGTGTGGAGCACATGACTGTAAAGCTGCCGCCCAGTTGGGTGGGTGTGGAGCACATGACTGTAAAGCTGCCGCCCAGTTGGGTGGGTGTAGAGCAAGACTAGTAATTGGACGACTCACCATAGATGTAAAGTGCCTAGTATAGTGACTTGTGAGCCTCTTGTTGAATCACTTGTGATACAAAGATTATTGATGTGTGTATTTGTGTGGGTGATTGAATATGTATGTGAATGTATATGTATGTATATGTATATATGCAATTGACGATCACGAAACAATAATCATTTGTATGCGGAAAAATCCATATTTCATTTCTCTGGATTTACCTCATATGTATATATATGTACATGTATGTATGATTATGTGTACATGTATATATAACATTAATAAGAGGAAATGAAGATGAAGAAATGATAAAAAGAATGGCAATAGTGGATAGTAGTAACACACTTAAGAATTATTCAGTAATAAATACAAACTCGTCCTTCACCTATGATAAAGGAAAGTCAACTTGGAAGGATTCAATTTACATGAGATTAAGATTAGGATACAAATATATCTGGCAATACGGAGTTGATGTCAGTGAAAAAGATAAGGAGTGTAAATTATGTAGTATGCCGCACGCCCACACCTTAGAACATTATGTATTAGAGTGTCAACTTATTGATAACTATAGAAATAAGGAAATAAGTAATGTACCACATCAAATTGTTTGTATGTGTGATAATGGTATGATAGACAGTATACTTAGGAGCTACAAAAATTTTGCCCCAAGAGTGTAACAATTGTATGCTGTACTTACTATATTAACCTGCAATGTTAAATGGGATTCTTGTAATGCTAATTGTCTATTTGTACTTACTGAATTTGTACGCCCCTTGAGGGACTTGAAGTAGAGGGGGTAGAAATAGCCTAAGTTACTCTATCCCTTTGAGATGTATTTTTTCTTGTCTCAATAAACATACTTGAACTTGAACTGTAAATATTTGTGGCTTCCTGACCATAAAGTTACCGCCGCAGTCGAGGGTAAGAGACCGGATGTACCCAGTATACAAGCCGCACTAGCTATTAGTTCATAAAAGCTGACAACTTACCCAGATAAACATTACTTCCTAATTATATATATATATGCAAATAATAAAATTAAAATGTTTAAAACGTGATTATATATATGTATCATGTGGACAGTTTTTAATGTAATTTTTTCTCCTGATATTCGGGTTCTTTATTATGCTTCATCTTGAGGCAAAGCCCAATACCTTACGCCATATTGATGCTCTGTCTACAGATCATTCTCTCTCTCTCTCAAATCATATACATTGATGGTTTCCTACACCGCCACACGGGTGCAGCTGCAAGTGCAGTTGCCTCTACCCATCAGACAGAACTATTTGCCTTGCTTGTTACACTAAAATGTGTACAAGTGTGTGTGTCTATGTATTAACACGATGTACTGAACGGGGTGAGAATAGCTTGAGCTACCTCATCCATTTGTGTGTATTTTACCTCAATAAACTTATTTCAATTTCAATTTCAATTCAAGTCTCCAAACTTGATGCATTAATTGTAAGTGATTTTCTACCATCCTGCATTAATTGTAAGTGATTTCTATCATGCTTAATTGCGCGCAACTCTCTAAGACACAATTGTAACATGACCGTGTCTGAAGCTAGACAGAAAACACAACATTATTAGTGATGGTAACATAAGCCATTTCATGTGAATTCCATCTTCGTTGACCTCCGAAACTTGAGGAATGGTCCAGAAAATAGCTACTAAAGTTTAAGTCAAGTGTGAAGATACTTTAGTTGATACTTAGATACTTCCAATAAGTGTAAACATAAGTGCTGACGATGCTACCTTCCTCTATTCAGACCCCAACCCAAACGCACTATATAATAATAAAAATAATAGATTTAAAAAGTCCACTCATGGATGTAAACTAACAAACTCACATCAAACATAAAAAAGACCGACTACTATTTTTGTTCGAAAGTAAATCCTGAAACCAAATTCAACTTCAGATACACAATGTTAACATTAGCAATAATGATTATGGAAAGTTCCTTGACCTATACATAGACAAGAGACTGAACTTCAGCATCCACATACAACACATATGTGAGTGGTGAGAGAGAGAGAAAGAGAGAGAGAGAAAGAGAGAGAGAGAAAGATAGACAGACAGACAGAGAGAGAGACAGACAGAGAGACAGAGAGAGACAGAGAGAGAGAGTGAGAGAGTATTCACCTAGTTGTGCAGGCGCGGGTTGAGCTCTGCTCATTCGGCCCGCCTCTCAACTGTCAATCAACTATTACTGACTAACTAATTTTTTTTCTCTCGCACACACACACACACACACACACACACACACACACACACACACACACACACACACACACACACACACACACACACACACACACACACACACAAACAATCGACCGGGTAAACAAGGATAAACTATTCAACACTGGTGGGAAACTGAGTACCCACATGAGCCACAGAGACGTTAAAAGGAACTTTTTCAGTGTCAGAGTAGTTAACGGATAGAATGCATTAGGCAGTGATGTGGTGGAGGCTAACTCCATACACAGTTTTAAATGTAGATGTGATAGAGCCCAGTAGGCTCAGGAATCTGTACACCAGTTGATTGACAGTTGAGAGGCGGGACCAAAAAGCCAAAGCTCAACCCCCGCAAGCACAAATAGGTGAGTACACACACACCAGGAAGCAACCCGTAGCAACTGTCTAATTTCCAGGTACCTATTTACTGCTCGGTGACATCACATTAACATTTACAGAGAGTAGAGAATTAATTAGGTATCTGGGAGCTAGTTAACTGTTGTGGGATGTATATCTTGAGGTACTGTATACAATGTTCACAACAGAGCAATGTATAATCATTTCATTGTATACAACACATTGAGAAAGAATGAAGGTTAGATCCGAAAATTATTGTGTGGCTCTCTCATGACTTGTTTCCGGCGCGAAGAGTTGTGAATTTACATGAAAATGTACCAACAAAATCTTGTTACATAGCAGTAGGAGTAACATTTACTCCCTAGGTCCACGAGTCTAGAGCGCTGTCCACTCGGCCACCACCTCCCTTATGAGAGGGAGAGAGTGAGTGTGTGTGTACTCACCTAATTGTGCTTGGGGGGTTGAGCTCTGGCTCTTTGGTCCCGCCTCTCAACTGTCAATCAACTGATGTACAGATTCCTGAGCCTACT